AAAGCCCAGAGCTCCCACATTCCTGCTCCAGCATGGGAAACATGTGCCCAGGGTCTCCTGCAGCTCCAGGAGAGCGGGGATGGTGGTTGCATCTACCGGTCTCTTCTGGCATGTGTGTTGTAGGTGTCAGCAACTTGGGTTTCAAAACTGAATTGGCACCACTGTGAAACCCACCTGGGACTGCAGAACAACGGAGCTTGGTATTTGACTATGATTCACACTGTCAGGATGTGTCATCCTTCTGCTGTGCTCAGCCTGAGGTGGGGGAAAAGCAAGCGGAGACCCAGCACAAGCTGCTTCCCCTTCCATACGCTTCCAGCTGATTCGGCACCAGGATCCCTCCTACCCCTGAGCTTTGGGCTTACCTCTTCCATACTTGTCTGAACATCCTGATCATCCATGCCTTCCTCTGGTGGGGTCTGGCACCAAGATACCTCCTTGGGCAGCTCTCCTGTGACACAGGTCACAGCACACCTTTGCCTTCTCTGCCCTCCCAACATCTCCCATTTCCTCTAGCAGACATGGGGATCTTCTGCCTCATGCCATAGGGTTTTGGCACCCAAATTCCTTCCTCTTGATGAGCAGTGGATTCCCCTGCTGTATGGACATCCCAGAGGTCAGTCCCCTGGAAAAGACAACCACAGAGGAACAGGGAAATGCGAGGGTGAAGTTGGTGCAAGGAAAACTCTATCCCACTTGCCCAGCTCTGGACGCGAGCTGTGAGGTGTCCCCTGTTTGCGATGTGGGTATCAGCCCCAGCAGGGAAGAAGGAACCGGACGGGGAGATGGGGCCGTCCCTGACCCAGTGTGGAGAGGGCACAGCAGCGCGATGGGGGGGTTCGCTCCGCACCCCGGGCTACCGCGGGCCGCGCTCTCTGCGCAGGGCTGCAGCACCCTCGTGTGGCTGCGAGAACCGGCGGCGGGGGTACCCCCGGACCCCAGAGCCACCGAAACCCAGCCTGCGGGCGGGCAGGACCCGCGGTCTGGAGGTGTTTGGGATGGATGGGTGGATGGATGGATGGATAGATGGATGGATGGATGGATGGATAGGGGGATGTTGGGTACCATCCCCTGGGGAGTGAGTTGAGGAGGATGCTCATGTCTGCACTTCCACCCATCAGCCACAGGCGAGATTCTCTGCCCCACTCCTGACCATGCTGCGTGTCCACATGTATTATTCTTCCTTGCATGCAGTAACTCCTCCTTGGCTTTGTACCACCCACTACAAAGGAAACCTTTGCTTCCTCCCCTTTCCCAAATTATCACAGAGCATCACACCCCCTGCGGGTGGCTACCGTCCAGCTTCTCCAAAGCTTCTCTGCTGTGTGAGGTTGCTTCCTTTGGGGGTTTGGAAAGAAGCAGCAAAATATCAGCTGCAAGGAGAAGCTGCTCTCCTCCCCAACGGAGCACAGAGTTCGGGGTGACTGACACATCCCTCTGCGAAGGAAGGGCTCAACTGCTGACAAATGACATGCTGCTGTCACCTACGTGTCTCTGCAGCTCGGAGGTGGTGTCAGCAGGGTCTCTGGACCTTCCCGTTGCCACCAGAGGGAGAAGGGCTCCGCGTAAGGATATCGGGAGAGGAGGATGCTGTAACCGCTACATGTCTGTGTAATTCATTCTGGATGGGGATAACCAGGCTGGCATCCCTGCGAGCTGGAAAATGTGAGCTCTGTTTTGTCTCGCTGCCGTGGCAGCTGGCGCTGATGACAGTACAAAGTTGTTCTCATTTAAGTATTGCAGGGACAAGCTTCAACTTTTCAGCAGTTGGAAAGCTGGGCTCAAGTGTGGGGTACAGGGTAAGAAACAGGGAAACGGGGTACAGGGAGGTCCTCCCATCAGCTGAGCCTTGCCCTTTGGGAAAGGAAAACCAGGAAGGAAATGCAGTCTGCAAATAGTGTTCTTGCAGCTTTGAAGTTGTGGTGTGTGGAGGGAGATCAGCTCTCCTGCAGGAATGGGTTCTGGTGATGGATGTGTCCATGACAGGCTGCTTCCTAGGAGGAAAAGTCCTCCCATGCTGGAAGAGGAGAGGCAGCAGAGTGCCTTTGAGCTCCTCTTGATTAGCAGCATTCCACCCCGTGCATCCCTACCTGTGGAGTGCAGAGCCTGCCATGTGAGCCGCAGCTCTCCATTCCTGTCCATCTCCTGGGAGCTGGTGGACCATGGGTTGAAATCTTCTGTTTGAGTGGGACCTGAACTGAATCTGGGAACGTTCAGGCAGGAAATAAGTGACATATTTCCAGCAGTTAACAGTAACGCAGCAATGACTCACTGGAAGAATCTGCCCTGGGATCTACAAGCACTTTGCTTCCAAGGGTCTTTTGAATCAGGGCTGGATGCCCTCCAAAGGATGCTCTGCATTGGCCACATGCTGAGGACATGAGGATGCTGCTTGGGTGATGTTCTCTGCCTGGGGCTAGGCAAGAAGTTGGGCAAGTGACCTTAGTGATCTATAAGTCACTTAATGAATAAGTAAGTGGCTGCTTCCCCCTGCTTTTGGGTGTCCTGCACTGGAGGGCCTTTGTACTCTGCAATCTAAAAGCTGATGGTTTATTCCTACCCTTTTGTTTCTTACCTTTTAGCTAGTTGTCTGTGCAGAACCTGACCCTTCTCCCTGCTGCCTCATAGCTTGATTCCTGTAAACCTGAGGGGAAAAAAGCCCTGGGGACCCCCATGCTTCTCTGGTCCACGTGTGGAGCTCACCCTGCAGAGGGAATCTGTGAGCAGCCTGGGTCAGATCCTATAGGGCCTGCTACTCCCAGTGGGGTTTTGAAGAGGAGAAGCAAATCAAGCTCTCTTCCTTGACAGCCCATCCTCACTAGTCATTATCCTGGAATGAAGTAACTTGGATCTGGCAAGGCCCTGCAATTAACTGTCATTCAGGGACCTTTGTTAGGCTGTTTTCTGTGCCCCTTGAGTTTCCGTCATCTCCAGGCATCAGTTCAAGGGTCCCCAAGCCAGAGGGAAACCTGGCAGACCTGTATGGTCTCTCTGCCCTGTCCCAGCTCCATGGTGCCTCAACACACTTCCCACCTTGATCCTGCCCTGCTCCCAGGCCATGGGGACCACTTGCTCCAGGTCATGGGAAGATGCTGTGAGATGCCACCATCAGTTCCCCCTGCTTGCCCAGGGCAGGGGGGGGAACCACAGCATCCATCAAGGAAAGAGCCACGTTCCCATCGAGCGCACAGACCCATCTCTACTCAGTAAAATATTTATTCCTCCATTATTTCACAAGAGTTGTTTTTACAAAAACCTTACAAAAATTTCCAAAACAGAGACATGCAGGAGAGGGGGAAAAAAAAAGGGAAATCCACCGTGGATCTTGTTCCAAGCAGCTGAAATGTACAAATAGGAAAGGGCAAGAGGGAGGCTGGGTTACAATAATCCCTCTGTCCTGCTACCCCTCCATGGGTGCAGTTTGTATCATGTCTTGGTGAGCCTTCAGCATTGACTGACAAGCTGTGATAAGCTGCCAAGAGCACGGCGAAAGAGGGGCCATCAGCTTAGGAGTGAGTGTTTTCAAATATATATATACATATAGATATTTAGTGAAGAAATATTTATTCCCTGCTTTTTTTAGGTTTACAGAAACGGCATCTGCAAACTATTAGATGGGTTTATTTTCATTAATGCTCTCAAAGAGGCAGTGACATTTATATCCCTGTGGTTTCATCTTGTACAACTGGAAAAAGAGCCCTGTGCTTTCCATGGGAATAGGAACCCCCCAACCCGGACCCCTCTTCCTGCCCCAAGCGGAGTTTCTCATGGTGGATAACTTGATCTGCAGTGGATCTGTCTTGCCTCCTCCTTGGCTTTTGGCAGGTCTGTGTGGTGTCTTGCTGTGGTCTGGGGAGCTGTGTGCTCCCCTTCTGGTATAGCAAACGGGGGACACCAGCACTGGAAATAGGAGTGGGGGGAGCAGGGTGACTTTGCTCCGTGGATAAGGGAGGAGGTGGCTGCTCCCAGCCAGGGGGCTGCATTGATCACAGAAAGCTGGGGCAGGATGGAGGGGCTGGTTCACCCCCAGCCAGAGGAGATGTGCTCCTCTCCTGGCTCTCCCATCAGGTTTCCAGCTCTGGGTGCTGAGTGAGTCCCCTGCCTGGGGTGTATGTAGCTGCTGGGTACTGTGTGTGCCTGCTGTGAGAGCCCCAGTGGGACAGGGAGGGGATGCTTCTGGGAGCAGAGGGGAATTGCATGGGCCCATGTGTAGCTGGGATGCTTTCAGCCTTGGTGTCACACACCAGAGGACGATTATCTGGAGGAAGCATCTTAGCAATTGCTGTGTTCATCCTCAGATCTACTGCTACAGTCCCCAGCAGGACTAAGACCTTCTAGGCAAGGAGAGCTGGTGCCTTCTCCATCCAGGCCACCCATCTGAACTGGTGATGTTCCTGTGCTTGGCTGGTGGCTCTTTGCAACGGGTGAGGAACGAGTGCTCTGGTTTCTAGAGGGCTTTGTCCACAGGATAAAACCTCCATCTCTCTGGCTCATCCCTCCTGGCTGTGGTATCAGCAGGGGAAGGTGAAGGGCGCATCTCTCTGCTGCTGAGTCCCGAGGGTGAAGGACTGGGCTGAGGCTGCCCACCCTGTGTCCATCCCCCTGCACATCCCACCTTGCAACCTCATGATGCTGCGCAGCAGGGTGGGATGAGGAGGAAACCATTTCCTTTGTGGAAAACCAAAGGAGCTCACCCCCATGGAGTCGCCAGCCCCAGAGCCCCACACACATGTGCGAGGCTGTGCCTCCGGAAGGCGAAGCCTGCTTTGCCGTTGGCAAGGAGCGCCGGGAGCCGCCTACTCAGCTCAAACCCAACAGCTTTTTCCAATTTTCTCTTTTCCCTGGGATGGTTCAATGACCTGGGGCTCGGCAGCATTGCTGGCAAGCCCACCGAGGGCAGCGCTGCCTGCATGGGGACCGCGGTGCTCCCCGCAGCGCCCAGTGAGTCCTTTGCGCCCCTCTTTGAAGGGGCATAAGCCTGATGCTATCGATATAGGCAGCACGATGCAAAGGGCTGGCTGAGGCAGGGACGAGCTGTTGGCTTCCCAAAGTCTCTCCCAAGCACAAAGAGGCAAAGGCACGGGTCAGCTTCGGCGTGTGTGGTTGAGCATCACGAGTCGCAGCCTGGCGGAAAGGGGGGTTCATGATCCTCCCACCACTGCACACTGTCCCTGCGGGAGGACAAGACCCAATAACTCTTTGGCTCTCTGGGCAAGATACCCAAATTGGTCAAATCCAATAGTCCAAGATCCTTCCATGTTTGGAAGCAAATTCTTGTTCCCTTGGCAAGTCTGTTTGTCCTCGAAGAGCGCGTGGGGGGTATGTGTGTGTATATATAGCCTTTATTATAAGGGTGTGCGGAAAGCAAGTTTCTAACCAAGTTTGCTCCATATGTGGCTATAATTATGTGCCACTTCGGCCTGGGACTGACTCTACCTTCAAAAGGGAAGAGAAGAGGAGAGAAGAGGTGCTGAGACGTTGGACGAGTGGCATGTGGGTTGGGTTCGTCCTGGACCGGCACAGGAGCTCCACGCTGTATCCTGGATGAGGCCACTGGGTGGGCTTTGCCCTGGTCAGTTCACGGTCGGCACCTGGTTCTGATGGAGGCTGAACTCTTTGGCTTTGAGGCGCAGGCTGGCGATGCTGTTGGCCATGTTCACCCCTTGGGTGGGTGTCGGGGTCCCGCTGGAGCTGTAGGAGGGCACAGTGCTGCGGAGAGGGAGCAGGGGAGGAATAAGGCATGGCCATGAGGAGTCTGCATGCCCTCCTGGTCCTGCCGGCTTCCCAGGCCAGAGTGGCTGTTCCCTCTTAGACATCTCCCACAAGAGCAGTCAAGGCTGCAGCATTTTTATGTGGCTGGATGCATGTGGGAACCCCTCAAACTATGCACTGGGAGGCCCTGCCTTGAGCTTTCAGATGGGATGCCTGGATGTGGAGAGCTGGGAACCAGAAGGGACCCTTACCACCACCCGTGCCAGGATATGGGAAGGGTCACCATGAGGCCAAGTTGAATCCCTTGCGAGGACCAGGGCCCCCACTCCAGCCTCAAAATGCATGGAGGCAGGGAAGCCTGCTTACATTGGGCAGGGGATGCTCGGATGAGGCTGAAACGGGTTCCCAAAGCAAAACCAGATGAGTTCCTTTTAGTCTTGTAAAACTCCTGCATCCTCAGTGGCAGCACAGAGCTGTGCTCCCATGGTGGTGGGGTGGTCCCTAGGCAGCCTGTCCCATGGCCATCTCCTCCCCAGACCCTTCAGTGCCTGCACCTACCTGTATGGCGAGGAGCTGGTCCAGGACAGATACTCTGGGGTCAGTGCAGTGGGCCGTGGTGCCATGGGCTGCTCGATGGCTGCTTCTTGGCTGTAGGATTTGAGGAGCGATGCCGATCTGTTGGCCAGCATCGCCCTCTCGTTACGGCGGAACTTGGCCCTTCGGTTCTGAAACCAGACCTGCATGGAGGGGGAAGGTGGTCAGAGGAGACACAGTCAAAGCAGGGATGTCCCAGGCATTGGTCTTATTGCTCGTGGTCATGTGTGGAATGAAATGAGGTCTGTGCTCACCTGGACTCTGGCCTCACTGAGGTTGACCCTTCTCGCCAGCTCCTCCCGCACGAAGGCATCGGGGTAGTGCGTCCTCTCAAAGACCCTCTCCAGAGCCTGCAGCTGGCTGCTGTTGAAGGTGGTGCGGTTCCTCCTCTGCTTCTTCTTCCTCTTGGCTGCCCCATGGCTCGGGCTCAGGCTCTCGCCTGTGGGGAAAGCACAGGAGAGGACACATGAGAGCCAGACCCATGGAGACTTGGGGGTCTGCACTGCCCTGCTCTGTACCAGCTGTGCTCCCTGCAGGGAGCAGCCTACCAACCCTGAGAGCCAAATCCTGTTTCAGGACCTGCTGGAGCTTGGGGTTAAACCCAGCGTTTGCAAAGACCTGGGGTGGTTTTATACCTGGCTAAGATCACCTGGACCTGATTTTGACTTCCAGTTTCAGTGGATTCTGGGGGTACCACTTGACCCAAGCAGCTGGGACTGCATCTCACAACCCCTCCCATAATGAGAACATCCACAGGGTGTCTTAAGCTTGGCTCTTGTAAGGGTTTAGGGCAAGCTTTCATGGACAGGGATTGAAATTCATCACCGGAACATCTCTGAGATGTGGGTCTTGGCTCCTACCTCCAGCACAGCCCTGGCTGTGCCTTATCCCCAAGGTGACACAGGACTGCAGCCAAGCATCTGTTCACCCAGCCCTGGTCTTCAGAGCTAGGCAGGAACACCACTGCGCCTCGCAGAGCTCAGCCTCCACAGTGTTTATTTCTGGCTTTGCTGGCTCATGGAAACATGAAGCTGAGGATGTAGTTTGGTTTCTCAGTATTGATCTTGGGCTTTCAGCCAGGCTGCGATTAATCTCCTCTTTGTCACTAATATCATCAGGTTGAGGCAAGTTTATGAAGTCTCTTTCTGAGATAGCAAATCAGCTGCCGGCAAAGGCTGCGCAGGGAACACGTCTCGCTGCTGCTCTTCCTTATGGAGGTACTACTTAATTATTCTTTCTGCTAATAAAGCATCTGGATCCAATATGTACCTACTGCTGGGAAAGTATTTGGGAATTGTTTGAAATGTTAATAATTTTATGACATTCTGATTCATAGCAGGGTTATGTTGGGGTTTTCTGCTCTGTATCATTGCAGAGGCTGTGATGGCAGGAGTTACTGCTCCCTGAATATGCTCGAGAAATAAATACTTGCTAATAAGCCATCTTGGTACTTATTAAGTAGATGAGCAACATTTTCATATTATTCTAAGGAAGTAATATCCCTTCCAGCAGATTTTGTTAACTCTCCTGCTTTATTGTGTGCAGTTCTGGTGTCCTCAACATAAAAAGGACATGGAACTGTTTGAACAAGTCCAGAGGAGGCCACGAGGATGATCAGGGAACTGGAACACCTCCCATATGAAGATAGGCTGAGAAAGTTGGGGCTGTTCAGCCTGGAGAAGAGAAACTGCGTGGAGACCTCATAGCAGCCTTCCAGTATCTGAAGGGGGCCTATAGGGATGCTAGGGAGGGACTCTTCATTAGGGACTGCAGTGATAGGACAAGGGGTAATGGGTTCAAACTTAAACAGGGAAATTTAGATTGGATATAAGGAGGAAATTCTTTCCTGTTAGGGTGGTGAGGCACTGGAATGGGTTGCCCAGGGAGGTTGTGAATGCTCCATCCCTGGCAATGTTAAAGACCAGGTTGGACGAAGCCTTGGGTGAGATGGTTTAGTGTGAGGTGTTCCTGCCCATGGCAGGGGGTTGGAACTGGATGATCTTAAGTTCCTTTCCAACCCAAACTATTCTATGATTGTAAGATATCACCAAAATGATGAGCAGGAGGGAACTGAATCCAAGATCTTTAAGGCCAGAAAACCCTCTTGGACCTTAATTCTGAATAATTCAAGACACGAAACCTTCACCAACAAGTTCTCCATCGAGCTCCTAAGGTCCCTTTGTGTCTGAATATACCACTTGCAAGGGCTGTCCTATCCTGAGATGGGCCATGAGGATCAGAGGAACCGCAACGTCTGCTAGCAGGTTGTCCTCTGAAAACAGTGCTGCTGGCTGATGCCACCACCAGCATCCTGGTGCCAAATGGAAGCAGCACCAGGGGATGCAACAGAAGAGGAAGAGTTACATTTATTTCCATTGCTGGCAGTGGCCTCCTGGAAAGAGCAGATGGCTTCTCTGGCACTTTGCTATAGTGAGAACCAGTGCCAGGGCCTGGGGAGCACAGGGTGCCTCCACCCCTGACCTGTTAAGGGATGAAGCATTAGGATGGAAGGAGATGCAGGGATGCGGAGGTGGGACCTGGGTACCACCAGCTGTCCTATTCCCCATCTGTCCGGAAGGGGAGGAAAAGGAGCTCTGTCTGCCTCCCAGAGCTTTGTGGCAGCCATCAGCGTTTCTGTGGGTCTTTTGTTATGTTCTAGGAGCATCTGGACTTGGTTGACCATCCCTTGGGCTGGAAACAGCCCGTGCTCTTGTATTTGGGACATGTCCTTCTTGGGCTGGGCAAAGACATGATGGATGGTGCTGTGCCCAAAATACCTGTGGGTTTGAGACCCTTTCCCTGCCAGGAAACCACAGGATGCCCTTTGCTGCTGCTCGTGTTTAAAGGCTCACAAATGAAATTCTCTAGATTCCCTCCAGCCCTTGTTCGTGCAGCTTCAAATGTTCTGCCAGTCTCTGCTTTCCAGTTGCCCCTTTTAGTTAAACTCCTTTTTTGGTCCTGTTTTCCTTCAGCAAGCTAACGAGCCGCTGGATTAAAATACATGAAGCTCAGTCATGGTTGTCCCTGAGTTTTCCAGGAGCCTAGGACCAAAATGGGAAGTGTCAAGCTGGGAAGGAGCTACAGGATGTAACAGGGTGAGAGATGTTTCCTGGTGTGTTTATGGCCACCCTGTAGGACTTCTGGGGCAATTATAGGCAGGGGCTTGGTTCAAAAAGTGCCGTCACCCACGGCATTGCCCCCGCATTGAACTGGCAGTGATTTCAACAGAACCCTAATAAATGTATAAATAACATTTATAAGTCCCTTTGGTTTCAACCCCAATTTAAAATCTGGCTGTAGGACTCTTCCATAAGTGATGGCAGCTCCCACCTACTCGAATTTGGCTGCCAGCAAGGAGGAAGAGGAAAGGTTTCTTAATTCTCAACCAAGCTCCATAGGATCTGGCCCCATTTCTGGCTGGCTTCCATCTCTCCAAACCTATGGAGTAAAGAGCTAAATGGCCCCAGGAGCTGGGCACTGTTGCACGATTCCCATATGGAGCTGGTAGGCTGCTGGGATGAAGATTTCAGACCAAAGTTGGACCAGGCTGTGTGTGGGTATTGGCAGTTCTGGGGTGGCTGGAGAGCCGCAGACCCTGAGCTGTACCTGGGTTGGGGTGCTTTGTTCACCCCTATTACTGGTTTTAATGAAGGGACCTTCTTCCGCACCACAAAACCCTGCGAGATGCCCTAGGGAGCTTCTAGGAGGATGCTGGTGGCCAAAACCCCTTCCCCACCAACACACACCTCCCATAAAGCACAATGAACTTGGTTTCAGCTCACAGCTCCCCAGTCTGCCCCGCAGAAACTTTTGCTTTCGAGCTCAATTCTCTGCTGTGTTCATTTTCTCCCCTATTTTCCACCTCATTTCCATACTGCAGGGAGGCAGCTCCATGCCTGAGGTGCCTGCCCGGGTCCTTTGCTCTGCTCAGGGATGAGCCTTGGTAATGGATCAACATCTTTTCCCCATTAGCTCAGGCATCGCAGGCCTGTGGGACCAGATAAATGCCGCCCTAATTGCTGGCGGCGTGTGTCTGACAGGTTTATAGAGTACAAAGTCGGGCTGGATTGCTTCTATCGGAGATGCTTTAATAACCCCAAATCAGCCTTCCAAAAATGAGCATCGCTAAGCTGTGGAATCAGAGAAGGAGCAGGGAAGGGGATGGGTTGGATCCCCTCAGACCCACTGCCACGCATCCATGGGAATTGGATTGAACCGGATGCACTGACACCTTGATGGAGGAATCAGAAACTGGTTCCCACCCCGATGGGCTTCCAGGGATGAGAGTTTGTAGCTGCACAAAGTTAAAACCAGCTTCCCAATGTCTGTCTTTTACCCCAAAACAGCACTTGGGGGGGGGGAGTTACAGAGAAAGCCAAGCCCTTGCCTTTGTCAGTTGTAATTTGGGGGCTCATTTTGGGCATGGCTGAAGGCATCAGTTTGATTGTCCAACCCCAGGGTCAGAGGGGACTCCTGAGCCACCCCACAGCCACCTTTGCCTTCGCTGTATTTATCTTCCACTGATTACAATTTCCGCTAAAGGGGGGAAAAAAAAGCAGGAGAAGAGGGAAAACAGGGGGATAATGTTACCAAATAACCAACGATGACACAGGGGAGGAAGGGCTTTGTGCAGAGCAGATGAGCCCCGTGTGCTTCATTAATTCGGGCCTTAATTTGCCCCAGCATGTTAGAAAAGACACGAGTCCTTTGTGGATGAGTTTTGGGGTGCTCAGTGCCGCCTGGGTAACCTACAGCCTTCCCTCTGCAATACCCAACCTCAGTGCTGCCTGCCTGAGGGCTGTGCCAGTCCTATGGATGCCACGGGGTGCTGGGAGTCACCCTAAAACCTTCCCCATGTGGGAGAAGGCTCTGGCAAGCTTGGGCCATGACGGTGAGCTGCCCTGCCATGGGAACTGGGTCCTGCCCCATTCCTGAAGGCAATGCTGGGTCAGTGCCGTGCTGGTTCAGCCGAGCACTGGCCAGTCCCACTCTTGCCTTTTCCCTGTGTGCTTCCATTAGTTTTCCATAGGTGGCTCGCCGGGGTGCTGGGCTTGCCAAGGGGGGCCCCACGCAGCAGCCACCGAGTGCTGTAAAGAGGTAATTTTCACTACATTTCCACCGAGGCTTCAGCTTTGACTTACGACCTCCATTAGTGAGCGATAAACGGCCTCCGTGCAGCTGGGAACCAGACCCAACCACCGCTTAAACCCCAGCCGCAGCGTTCCCAGGGATGCTCCGGCAGCGCGGCTCATCCCTTGGGATGGCTTCTGGTGGCGGGCTCCATCACCAACCTATCGCTCCCCTCGGGACATGTAGTTTGTGGGGTTCCTTTGCAAAATGCTCATCCCAGGGCATTGTGTTCTCCCAGCACCATCACTGTGATGCAGGATGGCCACTTTGTCCCATTACAAGCCTATCTCTCCCTTGAATGATGCTGCA